CTGTGTTTGAGTCCTTCCCTTGTTCCTGAAACTATGAAAATGACAGATAATTGAAAGTGCTAGTATTGCATATAGCTGAGAAACAGTTGTCGATTTTAATGCCACCTTTGTTTATTTTAAAAGATGAGCCAAAATAGGGAGCACATCTTGTCACAGAGTTGGCCCTATATTGTCTTAAGCCTTGGGATCAATAAGGAAGGAAACAAAACAAATATGAACAAATGACTGAAACTGTATGGAGGCTGTTTGTCAAAAACAAGGGAAAGCCAGGATTTATCATAAACCAGGCACCGCCTTTAAAGTGTAAGCTGCTTGTACCTTGCTTTGTTTTGACTTTGGGTATATTCTTTTTCTTTCTTTTTAATTGTTGTTGGAGAAGTAGAATGCTCTCATGTGCTGGGTCACCTCCCCCTAAGGCCCGCAATAGCTGGACCAGCGCCCTGCTGAAGCCAGGAATCAGGAACTCGATCTAGGACTCCTGTGTAGGTGACAGGGACGCAACTACTGGAGCCATCCGTTTGTTATCTTCCTGAGTGCTTGCAGGAGGCTGGAATGGGCCGTGGAGCTGGCACTTACCCGGGCACTCTGACTGGGGATGCAAGCATTCTCACGTCTTTACTGTGAGGCCAAGTGCCCACCTGTGGGTATACTTTGATTGGAACGCATATGCTGAAATTGAAATGTATTTCATTGGCTTTTTGTTAGCCTTAGGATAATTTTATTGCACAGAGACTGTGGCCCAAAAATGACTTGAGTTAAGGTAAGAACACAAACCTAGAAACTGTTGGGAGGAAGAGAGGAGGAATTTGTAATTGTTGGGGAGCACTTTATTTTGTGAATGTGTGTTACTGAAAATTTCAGTCTTGGCATCCTGTGACCTTGTCTGAACACACCAGTCCTAGGATTGTGTGGCATGTGTATAGGTTCCTTGAGATTGTTTGCTTAGACAATAATGTCATTGGCAGATAGGGACGATATTATTTCCTGATGTACTTGCTGTGTGGGAAATTTAGGATGCAGTAGTATTGTGTAGTAAGCACCATGTTCTGCAGGAGGGTGGGAGATTGTCAGGCTGCCGAGTGTGAACCTGCTGCCAATTTTATAGGTGTTTAGAAAGAATTTCCACTGTGGGGCTTGACACTAAGGCTCTGTAATCCACAATTTATTATTTTTGTATATATTGATACAGAATGCCTGCTGTGTATCAGTTATGATTGTGTTTGTAAATAATACGTGTGCCTCTTATATGCAGTTAGTTTCTTGGGAATGATGGACAAGTAACTGCAGTGAAGTGTGAAGTCCTGATAAGGAAGGGCGGGATGCTGCACGCAAGTGTTTCCCACGTGCTATTTCCCTGAACCTGCCAGTAAATGTAGATCTTGAAATGGCTAGGCAGTGAAGTCCAAGGGCAGAGCTTTAAAGTCTTAGCTCGACTTTCTGAGAGCAGTTTGGGAGTTAACTCAATTGTGTTTAATTTAGTTTAGCAAATGTCTGATTCTAGAGGAGGCCATGACTATTCAAATTTCTAAGAATAGCATGCTTAAAATCTGTTCAGAAAATAAAAGGTGCTATTCTCTTAAAATCAAATGATTTTTTTTTTTTTTAATTTAGGCCAACCATGTGTTGGTTTTTTGCTTGTATTTAAAATGTGAATTCTTGTTGAATCAAGTCAGTAAAAATGCTTTTAAGAAGTACTCATGTGGAAGATGATCTCAGGCCTGTTTCTTCCATGCTTGTGTATGGAGCCTGTGTCTGGGGAGGTTTGTCAACATAAAACACAGTTTGCCCTGGGGTACTTGTCCTGGGTGATAAATGGTTGCCACTGAAGCCAACCAGTTTAGTCAAGGTGAAGGCTGTTAAAGTCATTCCCCCGCTTTCCTTCTAGGAATTGAGTCCAATAGATTTTTCTTTTTCCTTCTTTCCTTCCTTCCTTCTTTCCTTCCTTCCTTCCTTTCTCTTTCTCTCTCTCTCTTTTTTTCCCACGGCAAGGTTCTCCTGGAAGTAGATTGTGTTTTCATACAGAGAGAGCAAAAGAACTTTGAAACTCCGTTAGGTCTTAGAAGCTTGATCAAATCTCAGCCTGGTCATTGTAGTGATTTGCAAACCTGTTTCCACCTTTGGCTGCTTTCCACTGAATCCATTTGAAAAGATGCATTTGTGGAATCTTTCTAATCAGGGCTTTCCCAGGGTTCTCTTTTAGGTTGTTTTCGTTATATTTTCCTTGAGCTTCTAAATACAGACCTGGGTCAGTTAACATAAGGGCATATTCTCAAAGCTCAGTTGTTAGGTGATTTCATTATTTTGCGACTGTCATTGAGCGAACTTAGACAAGCCTCAGTGGTGTAGCAATGCTGTGTTACCTGTACAGTCATGGATGTGGTCCGTCTTTGATACGTTATGCATCCAGAGGACTGTACCTTGTAGACATACCTTGGAAGATACCAGAAGCATTCAGTGTTAACTGACCATATACTCCTGGCATTTATACTTAATGTCTCTGGACCTGACATTGCTCTTGGACTGAGGCTTATAAAATCAGCTGACCCTTTCAAGTGTTCTGGGTATCTGAACTTTCTAATCTCTCCCCACTCTTCACATCTGCTTAGCTTTCACCCCTGTCTTACTTGAAAATATCTCCATTTTCCTAGTTGACTCAAGCAAAAAACCTTAGATAACCTGCACATCCTTGGCAGTGCTGCTGCCCTCTCCCTTGGGAATTGTTGCCACAGCCTCCTGACATCATTGCTTCTGTTCTACTCCTATCAATCAGTGTGTCATTATTATTATTGTTGTTATTATTATTATTTGAAAGGCGGATTTACAGAGAGAAGGAGAGAGAGAGAAAGAAAGATCCTCCCTCCACTGGCTCACTCCCCAAATGTCCACAAAAGCTGGAGCTGGACCAGTCTGAAGCCAGGAGCCTCCTCTGGGTCTCCCACATGGACAGAAGGACCCAAGGCCTTGGGTCTGCTGCTTTCCTTGGCACATTATCAGGGAGCTGGTTTGGAAGTGGAACAGCCAACACTGGAACCAGCATACTTATGGATACTAATACTGCAGGTGGGGGTTCAACCTGCTGTATCGCATTGCTACCCCAGAGTGACCATATTAAAACATTAGATCATTTTGCTTTTTCTGCCCCCAACTTAGAGGGCTACTGTACCCTCAGTCTTGTTCTTGTACTTTCTTGGGTCCTATTCCAGATCTGTTAAATCAGAAACTTCGGGAATGGAGCCCAGATGCTTTTAACAAGGTCTCCAGGTAATTCTGGTCTAAGTTAAGGTTTGAGAACCATGGGCCCAGCATGATGCTTCAATTGGCTAACCCTCTTCTTTCAAGTGCTGGCATCCAATATGAGCACCAGTTTGTGTCCTGGCTATTTCACCTGTCCAGCTCTCTGATTGTGGCCTAGGAAAGCAGTGGAGGATGTCCCAAAGCCTTGGGACCCTGCACCCGCATGGGCAACCCGTGAGAAGTTTCTGGCTTTGGATCAGCCCAGCTCTGACCATTGCAGCCATCTGGGGAGTGGACCAGCAGATGAAAGACTTTTCTATCTGTCTGTCTCTGTAGATCTGCCTTTCCAATAAAAATAAATAAATCTTGGGAAGCAAGGGGCAGGAATTACTGCTACACAGTATTGGTTAGGCTGTCAGAAATCCAACCTGTTGCTTTCAGGTGGTGATGGGTGGCTATTGTAATAACTGTCAGCTACTGTAACTGGATTTGTTCTCTCCATTTGCTCCTTCCCTTTTGCCTGCTGGAGAAACACAGTTTGGAGGGAAGTAGTGTAGGGAGGATATAAGTTTAGGAAATCTTAGTTGATTGGTCAGGGGTTCTGAAGACACCCCTTGGTTCCCATGGCTCACTAGGAGACTTTAGGGGATTCAGCCTCCGATTATACTTGTGACTAAGGTTATCATGGAAACAAAAAATCCACAAAGGGAACAGGCTCATTGGGTCAAGTCCAGAGAAAGCTAGCAGAAAACATAAGAATTCTCTCCCAGTAGAATTACACAGGACACACTCAGTTCCTCCAGCAGTGAATGAGGACAAGTGTTCAGTGTGGTCAGTCAGAGAAGCTCAGGGTCCCATGTGTTTATTGGGACCAATCATGGAGACATTGTCTGACCAGCATGGAAAGCAAGTGTTCATCATAAACATACACTGTACAACAGTTTAGGCGTGGTGGGCTACAAAGGTTCCCAGACGCCAGCCGAGGGCCACCTTTGCTTATGACTTTAAGGATGGTAGTATCAGGCCTGTGGTATCAACTCTTTTCTGCCAATCATGGTATCCGAAGAAGTTTGAATTTTATTGTTTATATGGAATATGAAACACTTAGACTAAATCATCTTTTTTGGAAATCATATATTTGGAACAACCACCATATTTGGAGAATGACTTGGGCAGACATTTAGCACAGTGGTTTAAGACACTTCCATCCTGTAAGAGAGTGCCTGGTTCAAGTCCCTTACCCACTTCTAATCCAGTTTTCTGCTCGTGTGCAGCATGGGAGGTGGCTGATGATGGCTCAGGTTTGTGTTCCTGTCCCTGATGTGGGAGACCTGGACAGAGTTCCAGGCTCCTGGGTTCAGCCTGGCCAAGACCCAACAATTGTGGGCACGGAGGAGGGGAATGATGACAGTGGATTTTCTGCCTTTAAAATAAAATGGGAATGAAGCCTTTGAAAAGCTTAGGGTTGTCACATCAAAGTATATAATTTTTAAAAAATAATTCCTTGGACCTGAGCTGAATAATTTATTAAATTATACTTTATGAAAAACAGTAATGCCTTTGACAGTGTTACTTACAGTCTGTGCTGAGTTTTGCAATTATAAAAATGGCTTATTTCTTAAAGTTTTTATTTTAAGCTATTATTCCCACTATTCTCTTGAAAAACAACATCTATGACCATCTGCTTCAAAGCAGATACTGATTTTTCTTGAAATTTGTCATCTTTGGGTTTGCTTTAGTGACTAATCAATTTTTCTCTTTCATAGGCCAAGATGCTGAATTATCAGGGACACTTTCACTTGTTTTGACACAGTGCTGTAAGAGAATAAAGGATACTGTTCAAAAATTGGCCTCAGACCACAAAGACATCCACAGCAGTGTTTCTCGGGTTGGAAAAGCCATTGATAAGGTATGGTATTAAAGGAACTGTTTTCTATTTTTTAGCATGATAACTTCCGGCAATACGTTCCCATTGTGTTTTACTTTCCCTTTCCTCTTTGCTTTTGGTAACTTTTTTTTTTTTAAGATTTATTTATTTTTATTGGAAAGGCAGATATACAGAGAGGAGGAGAGACAGAGGGGAAGATCTTCCATCCAATGATTCACTCCCCAAGTGACCTCAATGGCTGGAGTTGAGCCAATCCCAAGCCAGGAGCCAGGAACCTCTTCCAGGTCTCCCACGCAGGTGCAGGGTCCCAAAGCTTTGGGCCATCCTCGACTGCTTTCCCAGGCCATAAGCAGGGAGCTGGATGGAAAGTGGAGCTGCCGGGATTAGAACCGGTGCCCATATGGGATCTTGGTGCGTTCAAGGCAAGGACTTTTAGCTGCTAGGCTATGGCGCCGGGCCGCTTTTCGTATCTTTTATAGGTGTGGTGTTACTGTATGTATGTATATATATTTTAAAAGAGGGGTAAAAGGAAAAGAGAGATCTTGCACCCTCTGGTTCATACCCCAAATGGCTGGGGTTGGGCCAGGCTGAAGCCAGGAGCCAGAATCTTCGTCCAAGTCTCCCACCTGGGATTCAGGGATCAGGCTTTCCTGATGTTCTCCCCTATATCTGTGGGGAAATTGAATCAAGAATGCAGCAACTGGGATTTAAGAGAGAGGCTGGCTTTACAGCCTGTGGCCTAACTTTGCCACACAACACAGGCCCTACTATGTTACTCTTAAACTTAAAAGTTTGTTGTTGTTGTCATTTATTTAAAAAAATAAAGCCAAAAAAGCTCCTCCTTTTATAGCTTTGTTTATCCATTTGCTCATATGACTAAAGCTCATAGGGTCAGCAGAAAGTTCCAGCAACCTTTTAGCTCAGTCTGTGGGAGTTTGTTTTTCAGGAGTAACTTTGCCTGCCTCCTGAGTAATTCCCTGACTGCTGCTCTGTCTCTTGTTGTGGAGTGATTAGATTTACACCCTTGCATCTGTCTCCTGGCATTGTGTGAACGCCTGTCTTCCTGTGGGCACTCTGGTTCCTTCCTTCAGTGTGGCCTTCTGTGCAAGTGTGTGGGTTCGTTGCTTGCTTGCTGGGCCAGTCACTTTTAGTGGGTGAATTTTTTTCTTGTGACATTTCCTGAATAAGCAGTCTTGGACTTAGTGGTTGACTCCTAAGTAATCATTTTTTAATACTGGGCAGGTTTTACCCAGGGAGTTTATCTTTTTCTTTTAGGAATTATTTTTGTTTGAAAGGCATATTTTTACAAAAAGAGAAGGAGAGACAGAGTTCTTCTACTTGCTTGTTCACTACCCAAATGGCTGCAACAGCTGGGAGCCTGGACCAGGCCAAAGCCAGGAGCCTGGAGTTCATGTGGATCACCCATGTATGTGAGTGGCAGGCCCCCCCCCCCCATCTTAATGCTGTTAGTAGAACAACTGGGATTCAAACCAGCACTCATGCTGCACCTCAGTGCCGTGCCCTAGAAATTACCTTGTTGAGCAGTATTTATTGGAAAGCTACGCCTGAGTTTGTTAACATCAGAATTCTATGCTTATTAGAACATAGCATTTACTGGTAGGTGCTTTGTGAATGGTTGACTGTGAGTGGCAGGGGAGTGTGGGTACTTGTGTTGGTGGCCAGTGACATTTCAGGGAAGGCTCTCTGTGATGGTGCCAGGACTCTTTGACTCTACAGTAGGATCAGAGAACAGTTGGCAGCAGCACAGTGCTAGACCTTGTTGGGTCAGGGTTGGCAGCTGCCAGCCAAGGCCTGGAAGACAGTGAATATTCCTGAATTAGCTTTGAGGTCATGAAATCTGTTGGATGGCTCCAAAGAGTGAACACAGCTTGGTAGTGGGGCATTGCAAGTCTTCAGTTGTTACCTGAAATAGTTGCTGTGTGTTTAAGACCCAAGGGAATGGTGATGGAGCACTTTAGAGATGGCCTTAAAACTGGCTGAGGGGGGCCCGGCGCCATGGCCTAGTGGCTAAAGTCCTTGCCTTGAATGTGCCGGGATCCCATATGGGCACCGGTTCTAGTCCCAGCAGCACCACTTCCCATCCAGCTCGCTACTTGTGGCCTGAGAAAGCAGTCGAGGATGGCCCAAAAGCTTTGGGACCCTGCGCCTGCGTGGGAGACCTGGAAGAAGTTCCTGGCTCCTGGCTTCTGATCGGCGTAGCATCAGCCGTTGAGGTCACTTGGGGAGTGAATCATTGGATGGAAGATCTTCCTCTCTGTCTCTTCTCTCTGTATATCTGACTTTGCAATAAAATTAAAAAAAAAAAAGTCAGTTAAAAAAAAAAAAACTGGCTGAGGGTCTCAGTTTATCTTGGGCCATAAATGGAAGTGGTGTTGAATTGTTCATTGTTGAAAGTGAATGAGGAGGCCTAGTGATTCTTCGGGTCCAAGCTCAGGGAGAATCCTAGTGGGCACCTGGGGTTACCCTAGGTAGACCGTGAAGCTGCTGTCTGCGGTTGTGAGAGTGTCTGGATGGCAGAAGCAGATGGTGCCCTGTCCTGCCAGTGAGAAGAGCTGAAGCTTCCACAGTAGTCAGAGGAAAGGATCTGGAAAGAGAGCCCAGCGTCTTCAACTCCGTGGCGTAGTCTCAGGCATATGACCAACCAGGAGGTTTTGTGTTCTGTGTCTGTTGCAATTGCTACCAGAATTTCCTGTGTCCTGGCTCCTGGGGACTCCCAGAGCAGGTCTTTCTACAGGCCCAGCAGGTCTTTACAGATACTAAGAAGGGTGGTGGGTGTTTTGTCTTCTCTTTGAGGTGAATTCTATTGATGAACTTGGTGCCAAAACAGAAGTATCTCTTTCAGAACAGACAGCAAGAGAATATGTTTATGGCAAATGATTTATATTTTGGCTTTTTTAGTGGAGAGGATGTATTTGAGACAGGTGTTCCTAATACATTACATATTTTAATTTGTTCATTCCTCTCTTGAGAATGTTTTGTTTTTCATGAACTTGGAAGTTATAAGGATGTTTTCAGATAATCCTTGTATAGTTTCTTTGAAGGATTATTTTGTGTTCCTGTGAAAATTGTTCGAATGCTAGGTGACATGGATTCTGTAGTCTCACATGCCATCCCAGTGAGTCTTAGACTGCGCTCCAGAACCACAGAGGAAAACCAGCCCAGTTCCCTAGCATCTTACCGTACACTTCCTCCTGGTGTTTTGGAATCTCCTTGGCCTCAGCTGTAAAGGGGCAGCCCTTTCTCCTCAGGCCTGCCTGGATACTGCTAATAGACTTACTATATTGTGTGTGAATTTTGTCACAGAAGGCTCCACTGTTGTGAAGCCTTCCTATTCTCTTCATCTGACCCTGATAAACTTGGGCGAGTTCTGGGCAGCTTGTTGGAAAGGCTACGTAGAGTCGGTGAGTTCGTGGTGAGCAAGCAGAGTGAAGCAGAAGCCAGTGTGGCCTGAGCTGTTAAGTACCACACATCACACAGAGCTGACTGGGATCCTGGAATGCCGCCCGGCAGCCTGGGAGCACCACCTTCAGGGCAGCCCTCCCACCCTCACAAGAGGATGGCCAGAGACATCCTGCTGGCGCCTTTCTGAGCAGACGGGTTTGAGTAAGAGTGTGACTCATTTTTGACATGCTGATTAATAATTCTCCCTTTACCTTTAACTCATTTAGTCTTTCATTGACGTGTATTTTTTAAAAGTTAAATTTTCTCTGGCTATGACTTCTGAAAATGTAAACAGAAATGAAATTTCTGTTGGCAGTAGCTGAGGCTTTTTTTTAACCTTTTAATTATTGGAAATATAAAAAGAAGTCTGTTTTAACAAGTTGCCTATTTCCAAGTGCCCATAGTATGATTCCTAATTAAAATAACTGATACCAGCCATTGGATTCTGTGAAAAAACAAAACACATTATTTCTTCTTCTTTTTTTTTTTAAGTATAAAGCAATTGTTTGTTGGATGGGTATTTTTAATTTCTTGCCCCATTTGTAGAAAATGTGGAGTTCTGTCCTATTTGGGGCATTTTCTTCAATATTTTACTTTATCAGTTGACTTTTTAAAAATTGACTTTATAAGAACAATCAGTAACAATCATTACTGCCTTACCTTTGAAGTGTGTGTATGTATGTTAAAATCATTAGCTCCAAGATCATAAAGAGTGTAAAATCTGCCATAGTACAGTTAACATAAAAAACAAAGGATGTAACCTTCGTAAAGCTTTTGTGTGTATTAAATATCTAGGAAAATTCTGCAATATAAAAATGAGTTTGTGTAGGAGAGATGCTGTTTATTGTAAAGAAATGATTACCATGCTCTTTATTATGTCTAAGGTTTTGAGAGTTGTTACCTTAAATTTGACATTATATGGGCAAGATTTAGAAGAGCAACAACAGCCTTGGAAGTATGCTTGGCTCATAAACACATCAAGTTGACTTGGTTAGCATGCCTGCTGTTTTGGGGAGTAGGAAAAGATCAGGTTCGGGGTAGGCCTGTGGCAGGCGGCCTAAGAGATGAGGAGTGTATGATGAAAGAGCTGAAGGTTTGCTTGACCTATTTTTATGGTATGAAAATAGACTAAGGAGTAGTTCGGAGTAGGGAGATAATAGCTGCTAGTGAACTGAGTGTGGACCATATTCCAGCTAGGGGCTAGGTGCATTGATGCTCCTCATATCCTGTGATGTAAGTGTGATTTGTTACATTACATATGAGAAAACTAAGACTCAGTATCATGCTCTTGGTAGATCCTGGGAAGTGATGGAGCAAGCTTTGGGAAAAGTCCTCGCTAAGGCTTTGCCCTTAAACGCTGTGCTGTACTAGGGAATCAGTGAGGCATTTTAATGTCTGGTATTGTTAAAAGGGGGAAAACAATGGTTACAGTTGTTTTGAAATGATCTTCTGCCACTAGATGGAGCATCTACAGACAAGGAGAAATGCCCATCATTAGAGTGAACGGAATAATGATGTAAATAGTGACATTCTGAGTATTTTAAGATCGTAGACAGCCT